TATGTTTATTACCCATTAATTCTGCCCCTCTTTCAATTTCTTTTAACACTAACAGTCAGGAGGAGAGCTTAAAAGTACAGGACACTGACTCCTCTGTAGTAGAAGCAAATAATCAAAAAATGAAAAAAATCGCTCTAACTACTTCCCTAATAAATTTATTTGTATCTTTATTTTTATGGTATGAGTTTGATTCTAATACTACTCAGTTTCAATTTGTATCTGAGTTCAATCAATTAAATTTTTGTCATTTAAATTTTGGAATAGATGGTGTATCTCTTTTTTTTGTATTATTAACAACTTTTGTTACACCTATAGCTTTATTATCTAATTATAAAAATATAAATAAAAACCTTAAATTATTTTTAATCTCATTCCTACTACTAGAAAGCTTACAAATATGTGCCTTTGTTTCTTTAGATTTATTATTATTTTATATCTTCTTTGAAAGTGTTTTGTGATTTAGGACATCACTATTATGCTTGCAACTGCCAAACTCCGGGGACACCCTAAAGCTTATGATACCAAGCTATAGTCAAAAGGCTATAAGTGGCTGAACTAATTACTCAGGTATGGTAATAAGTCATAAGATGATTGAAAATGAAATGGGCTATCGCGGATCTAAATCAGATCTAAATTTTAGGTTTGTAAAAGAGCAACGAGTAGACGGTAGTTACTTCTCTTTATCTATACTTGAGAAGTTAAGGTGTACTCTAATGGATTGTGAAAGCAATTATCAAGTCAGTAACCTTTCTAAGCAAATTTTTATACATACCTCTAAAGGTCAGGAGGCAAGACCTCGTCTAAATAGAAGTTTTTATACTTATTCCCCCCAGGCGCAGCTGGCCCGTACCTGTTTCTCTTTCCCCTTATAAAGGTCCAAGGAAGAATGGGCAAGATCAAGAAAATATTACTTGCTTCTAATTATATCTCTCCAGCAGGACAAATTTCTTCTCCGTTACCACCAAAGCCAAACCCAAATCCAAAGATTGTTATGATGAAACCGTGCTTCACTTTCAAAGCAGAAAATTAGAGCCAGCTTTTGTAACTGGTTTTACTGATGGAGAGGGGTGTATCGGATTATATATTTATACTAATACTGCATCAAAAATCGGTTGGTATGTTTTTCTGGACTTTAAATTTACTTTACATCAAAAAGATAGAGATATCTTAGATAAGATTAAAATTTATTTTGGTGCTGGAGTAATATCTAAACATAGTGAAAAGCTTATCAATTATAGTCTTAGAACCATTAAAGATATCCAATTGATTATTAACCATTTTGACAAGTTTCCATTAAAAACTAAAAAATTAAATGACTACAAATTATTTAAGTCAGCAATTGATCTCAGAATAAACAAAGAGCATTTAACAAAGGATGCTCTTTATAAATTAATTGCAATTAAAACTTTTATGATTAAAGGTTTATCTCCGAGGTTAAAATTAGCCTTTCCACATATTAAACTTGAAGCTCTTCAGGATCTGGAAAAAATAGAAGCAGGGCCTAATAAAAATAAAATTCCTGTGCTTTCAGTACCTCCTATCCTTTATTTTAATTACAAAAATGAAGAGGGTGAAAATTAAGAAAAAGCTAAATGAGTGGCAGGATTTGCTTCAGGAGAAGGGAGTTTTCAAGTTGAAAATAGGAAAAGTCAAACCTTAAAATCAGGATATCAAGTACTATTAATAATTAGTATAGGTCAACATAGAAGAGACGAGCAATTATTGATAAGTTTAATTGATTATTTAGAATGTGGTAGAGTACAAAAAAAATTAAATAAAAAATATAATACAGAATTTTTTGAATTTCGAGTTGAAAAATTTAATGACAATTATAAAAAAATTATTCCTTTTTTTGTGAATTGAATTATCCTATCCAAGGACAAAAATTATTAGATTTTCAAGATTTTTGTAAAGTGGCTAATTTAATCAATAAAAAAATTCATCTTACTACTGAAGGACTTAATCAAATCCGAATGATAACAGAAGGTATGAATAGAAGAAGAATTATTTCAGTGGCTCCGCCTGCTGCTGCTTTTGTTAACAAAAACAAAGAGACACAAGAAAAAAATGTATAATTATTTGTATGATAAAGCTGATTACCATGGTTTTACCTATTTTATTTGTAGTAATAGTAATATTTGGACATGGTGAGGATAGATTAAGATCTGCTTATTTATTATTTTTATATACATTAGCTGGTAGTTTACCTATGTTATTATGTATTTTAAGTATATTTAGTTTTATAGGTTCAACTGATTTTCAATTAATTTCTTTATGTGAAATAAGTTTAGAATCTCAAAAAATATTATGGTTAGGATTCTTTTTAGCTTTTGCCGTTAAAACTCCTCTATATCCTTTTATAATTTGGCTACCTAAAGCACATAGTGATTCTCCTTTATCAGGTTCTATTATATTGGCCGCTACTATTTTAAAATTAGCTACTTACGGTTATATCCGAGTGTTAATAAATTTCTTCCCTGATGCTACTAACTTTTTTAGTCCTTTACTTTTAACTATTTGTACTATTACTATTATTTATGCTTCATTATCTACTCTAATACAGCAAGATACTAAAAGACTTATAGCCTATAGTAGTGTAGCCCATATGAGTATAGTAGTATTTGGTCTTTTCTCTAATAGTATCCAAGGTATAGAAGGAGCTATTTTATTAGCGATAGGTCATGGTTTTGTGAGTCCAGCTTTATTTAGTTGTGTTGGTGGAGTACTAGTAGATAGAACAGGAACTAGAGTAATTTATTATTTAAGAGGATTAGCTACGTATATGCCAGTGTTTACTATCTTATTCTTTGTTTTCACTTTAGCTAATACTGGTATACCTTTAACTATTAATTGGATTGGTGAACAGTTATCTTTAATAGGTATATGGCAACAAAATCCTATAATCGCAGCACTAGGGGCAACAGGTATTGTTTTATCTGCTTGTTATTCTTTATTTTTATATAATAGAATTTCTTATGGTTCGTACTCTCCTCATCTACCAATATTAAAAGATATAAACAGAAGAGAATATTCTCTTTTAATCAGCTTATTAATACCTACTATCTTATTTGGTATACTACCTAATGTTTTATTAGGTCCCTTACATTCTACAGTTTCAAGCTTATTATATGTAATTACATAAACCCCCTTATCTATTACATAATTAAGTTCACCTTTATCTTCAGAGATAGCTACTAGTATTTATATTCTAGTATCTTCTGCTTGTTTTACAAAAATAAAATTACCCTTCTTATCTCCCACCTAGCAACACAAAAAAGAATCAAAGGGTGCTTCTTTTCTGCTTCGCAGATTCAGAAGGCGCTACTTATGACTCGCTACTTAAAAATCAGAGGCAGAGGCAGAGGCAGAGGAGAAAAAATGGGTCGAAGGAGTGCTTCTTCCTTTTCCTTTTTTTTTTTAAAAGGACAGGACTAAAGGGGAGGGCGTGTATTCACTTTATAAAAGGTAGAGATAACTATCAATTTAAAGTCTTCTAAAAGAAGCAAAATAGTAGATTATTTATAGCTTAGTAATTACTCACTAATTTTAATATATAAATATAGATTTAAAGGTTTTTCTTTAAAGACTTTAGCATAATGGTTAATGCAGTTCGCTCATAATGGATATTATAAGGGTTCAACTCCCTTAGGTCTTATCCAGATCTAAAATTTATTAATTTACAATTACAATAAATTTTTGTAAGAAAGAAAGTTTAAGTTTTAGATTAAAATCTAATTATTTATTATATTTTTGATTATAATTGTTAAATTATCCTACCTCTTATCCTAACTTTCACTTCTACTCCCCCTCCCTTTAAGATTCAGTACCCCTTTAAGATTCAGTATCCCTTGAATCATCAGGGAGAGGGTAGAGAGGTGCGTAGCAGAAAGGACCGGGTCCTCCTTTGGAAAGGCTAGGGTTTAAAGATCTAATTATTTTTATTCTCCTTCAGCGGCCTTTGTTTAGATATTAGTTAATAAGGATGACTGAACATAAAAAATTTTTTTAATTCTTTCCTCTGAGCCTTAGGGTAAAAACGCGAAGTGCCTTTATTAATCACCGTATCCGGAGCAAGGGCAGATAAACCTATAAAAATCCTGCCCAATTTAATAAAAAAAAAAAAAGAGCTACGTTTTCCAAAGCCAAAGCCAAAGCCATAGCCAAAGCCAAAGCCAAAGAAAAGAAAAGAACTGTAAGATTTTAATCATCTTAAATTTATAAGTAGAAATCTGTAATTTAATTACTTTAACTTTAGCCTAAAAGGGGAGAAAAATAAGAAAACATATAAGTATTAGTTCATATTTAGTTTAATAGGACTAATAAGGAAATAAATTTAAGGGCATTTGGTCGAGTCTGGTTTATGGCGTTCGTCTTGAAAACGATTACTTTACAAAAAGTCGTGAGTTCGAATCTCACAGTGCCCAATTATGTTAATATAAAAAAATTAATTCTAAAAGTAGTATAAAAATATTTTTAATTTATACTATCTTACCCCTCCCTCTGATTTTAAGTAGCACCCCTAGAAATCACCCAGTCCTACTTTACTTTGTCTGCCTCCTCCCCTAACCTAAAGCACCCTGTCCTGTCCCTTTTTTTTTTAAATTAAGGACAGGAGGAAGCTAAGCTTAAAAAAAGGGGGGGGGGTAGCAAAGTAAAAAAAAAAAAGGGTAGCAAAGCTAGGGGTGGGAGTGAGTAAATTTAAATAAAGTTAAAAAGAATTTGACGGTGGATGACAAAATGGCCAGTCGCTCCTTTTGGGTAGGAGAGATATTGCGCGTTCGAGTCGCGCCTACCGTGTGTGCTTTAATTTATCGGATAGGGCCTACGCCCTGTCTTGTGGGAGAGAATTTTTTTTTTAAATAACTAAACTATTAATAATTTTATTTTTCCTAATCCTATTTTGAATATTTACCATTAAAAATTTTTTAAATTTATTTTATATTATAAAAGAGGTTAAAAAATATATTTATTAAATTCTTTTTATTTGATTTGTGTTTAAAGGTCTTATGGCTGAGTGGTTTAAGCGAGGTACTGTTAATACTTTCTACAGGGGTTCGAACCCTCTTAAGGCCTAAAAAAATAAAAATATATTAATTACCTAAATTATTGTATTTAAATTATTAAATTGTAACCTATTTAAATTAAAAAAATTAATAAAAAAAATGGATAAGACTTACTCTTGTATGTGAAGTACCTCCCCACTTAACCTATATTTTTTTAGCCCTTCGCTCCTTCGGTCCTTCGCTTCTTCGGAGAGAGCTAAGAATAATTAACATATCACTTCTCCTCTGATTTTTAAGTAGCGACCTTAAGAATCAACCTGTTCTGCTACTTTTCTTAAGAATCAGGAGTAGGGGTAGGACTAGGAGTAGTAGTAGGAGTAGCCCCTTCTTGTCCTTAGTCTTTTAAGAAAGGTAGGGCTAGGGTAAAAAAAAGTTAGAATTAAATTAATAAAATGAGGGTCCTTTTTTAAGAAAAAAAAAAAAGTAAAAGCTAGTAGCTTAACTAATGAAATCTAAATTTAAATTAGTTTTATCTTTTTAGTGTTTGTTTGAATTAACCTGTAACTATTTAAGCTTTGCTCATAAATCTTAGATCACTAAATTTATACTTAGCCTATTTATTGGGAGAAGAAACTCCTAGAATAGGAAAAGAAAAAGGTTGATTATTACTGTTACTGTTACTTTACTTTTACTTTTACTAGGGTGTTTCAAGAATTCTGCCCTATTTTTAGTTTGGAATCATCTCCCTCTCTAATAGTTTTCAGTAGCAATTTTATAGCAGATGTATAATTTAAAGATGTAGCATAGTAAACATAAATAGATTTTAAGTAAATTTTAAATTAGAAAAAAGTCAAAGATAGCTAATGAAAAGAGAAATTATTTATCCTAGCCCTTCTCTGCCTATTAGTAGACAGGAATTGCGGGGTGATGAGAAGAGGTATTAAGTATAGTTAAATAAAGGTACGTTTGTATTAAAAAGTTAAATAAGGGGAATAACTTTTAAGGGGTTAAAAGAAGGTAAGTTTGTAATTTTTATAGTATTCCCATTTGGGGTTAAAATCTCCCTGTTTTACCTTAATAAGGCGCTCAATCCTTTTTATTTTTATTTTTATTTTTATTTTTATTTTTATTTTTATTTTTATTTTTATTAAATTATTTGTGAACTTTTGGAATAACAATTATAGCGAACATGTTGAAATTTGGTAAACAATCTTTTCTTAAGCAAAAGTGGGAGGTATCCCTTAAGAGTTCGAGTCTCTTTGTTCGTATCTAAAATTTAAAGGTCCTTTAGTATAGTGGTTCGTACAGCTCCCCTTCAAGAAGCTAGGATCAGTTCAAATCTGATAAGGATCAATATCTATTTTAAATTGATTGTTTTATTATAGATAGTTAAGTGGATTTGTTTTTAGTCTATACTAAAAAAAAACTCCTAGCTCAAATATCATTAAAAAATAATAATTTAAAATTTTAATATAATAGAATAAGAGTTTTGTGTATCTTTTGAGTAATAATTTGAGTTTTGTTAATCTTTTGAGGAATAATTTTCATTGGCAAGATAAGACAATTGCTAATTGTTCGGGTTAATCACCCTTAGGTGTTCGAATCACCTTTATTCCAATTAAATATATTTTTAAACTTCTGTGGTTAGTATAGGGGCCTTCTCCCTATTTTCTTTTTCTTTTTCTTTTCTTTTTTTTTTTTTAATAAATTTAAGGGAAGAAAGAGGGAAATTAGTTTTAGTTATGATATCTACCTTGAGTAATAATTAGTCCTGTTTAACTAAGCTAAGTAGGGAAAAAATTTTACTTTACTTTATTTTACTTTACATTAATAATTTAAAGGAAGGTGTTAAGTTTTTACTTTACATTAATAATTTAAAGGTGTTAAGTTTTTGCTTTAATTAATTAAATGTGTTAATTATGCATACAACACATCCTAGATTTATCATAACAGTAATAGTAATAGTAATAGTAATAGTAATAGTAATAGTAATAGTAACAGAAAGATTAAAAAATTTTTTAAATAAACTGGTTGATATAATATCAAATAGTTTATTCCTTGGGAATAGCCATTGAAAACTAAGATCATTATTAGTGGGTTGGCTTAATTCTACGAATGCTAAAGAGATTGGAACTCTTTATCTGATCTTTGCTGTATTTGCAGGTATGATTGGTACCGCTTTTTCAGTTTTAATCAGATTGGAATTGTCTTCTCCGGGAGTTCAATATCTACAAGGAGATCATCAATTATTCAATGTAATTATTTCAGCTCATGCTTTTATAATGATCTTCTTCATGGTTATGCCTGGATTAGTGGGGGGCTTCGGTAATTATTTTTTACCTATCCACTGTGGTAGCCCTGATATGGCTTTCCCTAGATTAAATAATATTTCATTCTGGCTATTGCCTCCTGCTTTAATTTTACTACTTATGAGTTCTTTAGTAGAAAATGGAGCAGGTACTGGATGGACAGTGTATCCTCCATTAGCGGGGATTCAATCACATTCAGGTGGTTCAGTAGATTTAGCTATCTTCTCTCTACATTTAGCAGGTGTATCCTCTTTATTAGGGGCTATTAATTTCATCAGTACTACTTTAAATATGAGAACTAATGGAATGTCATTACATAAACTTCCATTATTTGTATGGGCTATCTTTATTACAGCTATCTTACTATTATTAAGTTTACCTGTATTAGCCGGTGCAATTACAATGCTTCTAACAGATCGAAACTTTAATACTAGTTTCTATGATCCAGCAGGAGGAGGAGATCCTATACTATATCAACACCTATTCTTAAGTCCATACACTGCTCTCGCTTTAGTGCAAGATTTCAATTTTGAAAGTTTCAAAAATAAGTATAGGCTTCACTATGATAGAAAAGTTCCTGATTATAAATTTTTAACCTGGTTAATTGGTTTTACGGAAGGTGACGGATCTTTTGTAATTAGTAAAACAAGAAAAGAATTACAATTCGTAGTTACTCAATCCACTCAAGATATCGCTATCCTACATTATATTCAAGAAAACTTAGGTTTTGGAAAGGTGATCAAACAAGGAGAAAGAACCTCTCGCTATGTAGTACAAGATTTTTCTAATTTACATTTAATAATATTATTGTTTAATGGTAATATAGTATTACCTACTAGAAAAAAAAATTTTAAAGATTTTCTAGATAATTTTAATAAAAAAATTGTTAAAAAAAAAAATAATAATTATGAATTAGGGGCCGGCCAGTGAAAAGAAGTAGAAAATCGAGTATCCTATATATTACCTTCCTTAGAAAATAGCTGGTTATCTGGTTTTACAGATGCCGAAGGCTGTTTTACAGTCTCTTTTTTAAAAAGTTCTAATCATTTCAGGGTTAGATACATAGTGTCTCAAAAAGGAGATAGTAACCTTCCTATTTTAAGTAGCTTCATTTTATTATTTCAAACGGGTGCAATAGAAGCACATTCAGCAAAATCAAATTATTCTTATATATTATCTGGTGTAAAAGCTTGTTATAATGTCTATTCATATTTCTATAATTTTAAGTTAAAAACTAAAAAAGCTATTAGTTTTGAATTGTGGAAAGAAATACACAGCAGTATCGCAAAAAAAGAACATCTTGATTTAGAACTAAGAGATATTTTAATAGATAAAGCTAAAAAAATCAATTCAATTAAGCGAAAGAGTAAATAGTGTAAAATAACAGGAATAAAGGGTATGGTTTAACTGAAAGTTACAAAGTTGTTAAGGCAGGTGTAAAAAAAAAAGTTTAAGACCTAAAACAATGAACATTTCATCTTGATTTAGATGGTGTACCATATTCTAGTCCAATATTTTTTTTAATATTGCATTTTCTGACGAGGAAATGGAACGAATTAGTATTATCGTTTGGCAATGCTAGTGAAAACGGTCAAAGCTCCCTAAGTAAGACCGTCGGTTCTCTAAGTGAGAGTCGCTACAGACTGGGTCACTGGTGGGTGCTTAATATTTTCTTTCTATTATTTTTTTTGTTTAAAGAAAGGCGAATAAAGAGTGCTTAATGTACAGTCGGTTTCTTTCTTTAATTACTTTAATAAGGTAAATTAAGGTATTAGTGTTTATTAATGCATATTATTCTGGGTTATAAGTAATATGTAAAGAAATGGGTTCTTTGGTCATCCAGAGGTTAAATTAATAGGCCTCGTAACGTTGCTATTTGCTGGGACGACTTCGCTAACTAGTTTTAAATACTCCATCTTAATTGATACAGTAAAAAAGTTAAAACAATGAAGTTTATCAGCAGGTAACCCTTTAAATTTTGCATTAGTTTTTGTAAATAAAGGTGGAACCTCAGAGACTTTACGCAACGAAATTGTATCTAAATCTGCTATCGGTTTCTTCGACTTCGAAGCACCCCATTGTTCCCCATGGTTACCCCTTCACCTAGATTCGCAACCCCTGCTTCTTCCTTCTTACTCCTTCTTCTTGGTCCTGCTTCTTTCCTGCTTCTTTCCTTCGGATCAGGACCTAGGAAAGAAGCAGAAGAAGGGGGAGAAGAAGCAGGTTCAGGGGGGTGGTTCGCGCTTCGCAGGAAAAGAAGCAAAGGAGAGTGCTTCTTTCCTTCTTAGTCCTGCTTCTGCTTCTGCTTCTTTCCAGCTTCTTTCCTGCTTCTTTCCTGCTTCGCAGGAGCAAGGACCAAGGTCCAAGAAGAAGGGGATCAGGGGAGAAGAAATGGAGAATATTAAAGCAATTTCTGTTCATAATTCAAAACATTTAAGACCGCTAAGTGATAATCAATTTGGACATTACTTAGCAGGTTTAATTGATGGAGTTGGTCATTTTAGTTCAAAGCAACAACTTATTATCGTATTTAGTTCAGAGGAACTATCTTTAGCTTATTATATTAAAGAAAGACTAGGATATGGAAAAGTTAGAAAAGTTAAAGATAAAAATGCTTATTTATTAATTATTTCTAATAAAGATGGACTAATTAAAATAATTAATTTAATTAATAGTAAACTAAGAACTTTAAATAAATATAACCAAGTTATTAATAATATCTTAAATCAATCTTTAAATAATAAAGAGAACATAATATTTA